CAACCACCAAATAATGGTGCAGCATTGCCTGCTGTTCTACCCCTTGCTGAGGGCATCACAGATCTCGGCGAGGTGTTTACGCAGTCAGCTGTTCAGCACAGCAACAAGCGTGGCCTTGCTTGTGGTCACAGTTGCTCCAAGCCTCGCATCTCAATGCAAGCTGTTTGACGGACAGGCAGGCCATTCCCTGCACGGCGCATTACTCTCCGACACACTTTGACTGCTTCATAGTCGGATTCACGTCACCAAGTGTAGGCTGAGAGGCTCTTGAGCACTCTATCCTTAAAAGGCCCGTAGACACTTCCCACATTTTTTGAAGCATTTAAAGTTATTGCATGCATCGTGTGCAGAATGCTGTCGTGATCAACGACTCTACAGGTGGCAGTGCTATGAGCGGCCGGTGAGCCACAAATTCCAAGAAACATCCCCACCTTCTTTCTGGACCTTTCAGGCCTCCGCGTGATGCGCCAAGCCAAATATGCTGCGATTGGTCGAGCAAGAACCTACGACTTCCAGTCACTCTGCAAGCAGCTGTCCGCGCCACTTGTTCTTGTTCGTCATATTGCCCGCGCGCATGTCACGCGTATGAGGCACGGCATGTCGCTGCGCTGGTCTATGACGCTGGCGATCCTTTGAAGGCGCGCGCTCAATGCAGAGTACGTGCCCGCATGATTACGGCAGCCACGGTTCATCAACAAGCAGGTAGCTACAATGCAACTGACGGAGTCGGGGGCCCGAGTTGAGGCAACTGGAAGCAGACGGTGTTACGAGCAGCACGTCAGCGATGATGTATGCCATGTGATATTGGGAGGGGCATGGTCGCTCAGCGAGAGGTCAATGTGGCTTGGAGAGGATACGAGTGGAGAGAAGCACAGGAGAGAGCGAAAAAAGTGACCATCGCAGTTTCAATAATCAAGCGCGGCAAACTCTACTATTACTGCACCATTTTGAAAAATTCTTACGACTCCAAGTTCATATTACACTCGTGCACAATCTCCCCACCGCAGCTGAATTTCAACCTCTGGGTGGTTTATGGGCCCTTTAACTCATGTTTATTGCAAGCATCATATATATAGCTCAGTCTCTTTATTAGCCATGTACTTCAGTGATTATTGTAATTTTGCTGCTGCGTTCATCATAAACATTGTGCGTCCTTTACGACATCATTCCTGCATCCATTTCCTCTTCACAAGGCAAGCAGGATAAACATGATGATAGTCCTCATATTCTTTACAATTATCTGGTGTCCACAAAACAAAACTGCTCTTTAACTTGACTAAGAGAGCACCTTGTTGCTTGTGAGTGTTCGACAGTTGACCATAGAGACAAACTAACAGCAAATTGGGAAGCCACAGGGATTGAGTGGTTTAGCGTTCAAAGAGTGGATAGAGGAAGAGCGCGCATCAGAACTAGAAGTTTGTGAGGCACGTCTAGCAAAACGCAATGCGGCGATAAAAGCTGATGTTGAGGAAATGGTTAGTTTGAAAGCAGAGAAAGAAGTAATGGAGCTCAGGTTAAAGCAGTGAGAGCTCGATGTGGCATCTGGTAGCACGAGTACTGGTTAGTTAACGAAGAGTGTGCAAATGGGTGCACCTCAAAACTACTAGAGCCTGCAGAAATTTATACCACCCTTCAACGAAAGCAGTGATGAGTTAGATACTTAAATCCATTTGAATGTGTCGCCATGAGCCAAGATTGATTGCAGGACAAATGGGCCCTCTCACTAAACCTCTGTTTGACAGGCGAAGCACTAAGTGTTGTTGGCAGAATGGCATCTGGTCAGGACACGGATTATGCAAAACTGAAGAAGATGCTGTTGCAACGCTTCAAGTTTACTGAAGAGGGTTACCGAACCAAGTTTCAGTTGGCAAATCCTGAGAACTGCGAAACTACAGGTTTTCTCACTCACTTTAATGCAAGTGCTAGTCTAAATAATCTATATTCCATTGAAATAATTTGAGCACCAAGCTATTTAATCTATGTGCCAAACATTTAATCCAAGTGCCAACATAATTATTTCAAATGCCAACATATTTAATTCAAGTGCCAACATATTTATTCCAAGCGCCAACTCACTTCCGCCGCGTGCCAGTGAGTTTAATTCAAGTGCCACCATGTTTAATCCAATTGCCAATCGCTTTAATTCAGGTGCCAGTCAGTTTAATCCACGCTCAAAAAGCAGAATACAAAGCATGAAAATGGCAGTACAATTGAAATGCAGTTCATATAATATATAGTCGCAATGTAGAACAAATCATTATTATTTGTATTCGCTGCTTGTATTAGTGATAAAGAAAATACTGCCGATGTTCGCTTGAGCAGTGTTTGTACTTTGCTATGTACAAGTTTTTATACGAGGGTTTTCGGCTGAAATCATTTCAATAGCAACAAAAAAAAAAGCAGAAGCATGTTAATAACTATCCTGTGTTCATCACTAAAGCTCATAAATAGATTTGTATAGCATTACATGACCGGGACAGGTCGTGTAATGCGAAGGACAGACTATGGTTACTGGAGTGCTGGAATGCATACCAAGATATGAAAATTCTGGCCGTAGGCAGCGATGGGTCAAAAGCAAATACATAATCAAGAAATTAGGAGGACCTGACAGGGCAGAGCAAATTAGAATCAATTCGAAGAGGTTTTTGTCCTACAGTGCACATAAGACATAAACTCATGATCCTGATGTGGACGACAGAAGTCATATTTTACATCCATATTAGGTGTTATCTTTTTATTCAAACAAAATTATGGGTATCTGATGAAACATGCGTGTTCCAAGCAAACACAGGTCGCAGTCTGTTACATGAAAACACTAGCGCAGTCTGTTACACGAATGTAAAGCATCAGTATCCCCTTTGATGCTTAAAAAAAAACTTAATTCCACATAAACCCAAACAAATGCAAGTTTTGTTCTTTAAATGGTTATTTCTGACTTCAAGAACAGCTGAAACTCATGTGACGGTCACCATGGTTCTCCCCGGCCTAAGACGACGACTGCCAACGCCTCAGCGAATAAGCAGCCAAATTCCGTCTGCTGAGCAGACGACTGGAGTCTTTGCATATGCAATGGTGTAGATGATTAGCCGGAATAATGCAGTAGCGATGACGCATAGACTAACATGGACTCTATGAGCAAATACATTTAGTACCTGTAAATGCAATTAATACGCACTGTTATATTGATACGCAAATCTAAACCACCAAGTATGGTGCTTAAAAAAAAGGTGCTCCTATGGTCATTTAAGACTTTCCTGCTGCATTTTGCTACTTTGAACAATGTTCTGCACAAGTACAATTGTTCGACCTGTACTCAAACTGGTATAGTGCATTATGGAAAAGAAGAAGCGACCAAGCAGACTGACACAAGAGAACAATGTGCTACCTTCCAACGTTATTGGCCAACTGCATCAAATGTGTAGACTTGAGCAAGCAAACAAAGAACGCCTGAACGTATCACCAAGATTAGGCAACACTATGGCAATGTCATAGACCAAAGATTCTTAGATTGTTCACCTGATCAAGAAATGATATTGCATGCCCAGATAAAGCCAATCAAGGGGTGCTGGCAGGCACCATTGCAATGTCAAAGACCAAAGATTCATAAACAGTTTGCTTAATTTAAGGGTGTTCACACCAGGTTCGACAATTTTGAGCTGATGAGCGCAATGCATACATTGGGTGTTCACAATCATGTCTGCCAAAATTCGCAATGCAAAGTGCAACGGAAATGGGTCAAATTGAAGATAAACGCTGCTTTCCTTTCCTTTTGTGGGCACACACTCAGACAATGAGGAGGTGACATAGACGACGGATTTACCCAATGTATATGGTAGTGCAGTGGTGTCGGTCCTCTATGTAAATGACTCTGCTTTGATGTCACCAACAGTAGCATGTGACACTGCGAAAATTATTTCACAAGACATGTATAGTTTGTGTAATTTGTTGCTTGAATAGAATAGTAAAACTTGAGATAAATAATGAGACACACAAAGGGAATATGTGCATCTTTTTCATTTTTCTTCCCTTGAATTGCTACGAGATGTGGGGCTAATGTGCCAGTGTTTCCCATGCATTCGTGTCACCACGATTAGCATATCAAGCATATGCCAGCCTGGAAATGAAAGTAGTGCTCCAGCACATTCAAGCACTCATTATGCTAATCTATTTGACTACGTCTGAGTAAACTTTAATGCGGCACTGGCTCATGATGCCGCCACTCTTGTGCCCTTGAAACGTCAGTTTTCATGCTGGGTAATAGGTTGCAAGCCTGATGATTGGGGTGGCAGTAGACCACAAAATAACGCTGGTCAACAAAACAATGCTGCTCATATGCTCAGGGGTTGGGCTTGCTCAGGAGCATAGATTCACAGATGGTTTGCCTTATTAACGAAGGATACTTCATGTTCAGATGAGTTAATAAAGGGGAGCTGGCAGACACGATTAAAGAAGGACACTTCTTGCTCAGATGAAGTTAATGAAGGGGCATTGTCAGACACCATCACAATGTCACAGACTAAAAATTCGTAGGCTGTTTGCCTGATAAAAAAAGGATCTGACCAAGGATCTGAACCCACAACCGTTGGGGGTTCAACTCCCACTGACAGAAAGAGTGAGTTTTGATCCACTTCAATTATTTTTTTTTTAATTTAAGTGAGAAACATTACAGTACAGTCAAGAAACCATAGATGCTGTCCCCTGAACTTTCCTTGGCTTAATTGTCTATGTGTCACTGACTTTGCAAAAGTAGTTAGAGGTAGCTTAATTGAATGCATTGCTGGGCGAGTTGGAGCAATGTCTAAAAATAAACGTAGAGTGCAAAAAGATGGGTCAAAGGAGACAAGTTAGATGGCACCAACAGTAAAAAAGAAGGTGAGCAACTCTTTGGTTCAGTTGAGTAACCTATATCAAAGGCACCAAGAAAGCTTATATGTTTACACTAATTACAGTGAGCAAGAGACACCTATTGCCAACGTTCAGACATGAGATTGTAGCATCACCTTTTCATCCCATTCCATCATATTTGGAAGCATCTCCTTCTCAGCAAAGTCGGCAGCCATTTGCTGCATTTGGATCTGCTCTTCAGACAGCCCAATGGTGGCTGGGCAAAAAAAAATGAACAACGCTGCTTAGGGAACCGAAGAGAATGGGTGCACTGTAGAGCTTTGTAGAGTGCTATTAACCTTTAACTAGATTTTTTGGTTGTAGCGATTAGTGTTGTAGACAGCCGTTTGATTTTCCAGATATCCGAAGCAAAGAGTCCTCCAACAAGGACTGCAAGTTCACATAAAACCCAATGTCTAGGATGGTTGCTTGCTGAGCTAGCTGGTTCATTTGAACACATGTAATCCATGGTCCCATGCTTCTATGTTTCGTGAATAGCCCAGATTGATAGGCTTGTCACACTGCTAGCTATGCAAGAAACAAGCAGACATAACTATGCCAGTGCTGCTGAAACCACCAGCAACAACAGCTGAATGTTGCAAATTGTAAGCGCTGAATGTCACAATGTGGCAGAAAGGAAAAATTTGCATCCACCCATTGGTAGCACAAAGCTATGCAGATTCCTCGTTGAAACAAAAATTTGTGGGGCGAGGATAGGATTAGGACAAGGTTGTTTTGAATTAGGAAGCGGTCCTCTCTGAGAAATCCACATGGATTTCCTTGCAGCCTCCTGTTACCAGTGGGTGCACACCAATTTTCATCTTTCAGAAACAACAGCTGAAATGTTCTTAGAAGTAGCAGGATGATGACAGTGGCAGCCAGGAGTCAACAAGGCAAGTAATTAACCGAGTACTCCAGGTAACGCTGCAGGAGCTGGAAGAAACTTTGAATACGTTTTTTTTTTTTTTGTGCACCGGGCAAGATGGGCAGCATTTGTGACAGCAGAAGTATTTATACAGTGATGGACAGCAACAGATACTGAGTTGCTCAAGTACATATAACGCTTCTGAATCACGCAGGTAAAAACCGAAACTTCTAATCTTACCTGCGCTTTGATTTGAATGCTGTTTAGCTCATCGTTTCGTGTCGTAAATATGTGGGTGTGCTTAGCACAGTAGATGTCTTCGTTCTGTAGGTAAAGCCCTAGGCGTGTCAGTGTATGTAATACCGGTAATTCTTTCATCGCGATGAGTGCCGATGTGGATCATACCTCTAACTGCGATTAAGACGTTCACGACGTGTACATGACTGACGTTCGCTGCGTTCACATTAGTTTGAACCGTGTTGCAGCGGCCGTTACGGATCGCGATCAAACAATTATACGCACACACTAGCACCGGGCTTCGTCTGCTACATTTAAAAACTGCTGTCCAAAGCTATTTCGCCGCCCTGCACTTACTTTGTAGGTTTTCGTTCTACTACGCGGCCTGTAGCTAAACATTTGCCTAGTAAATTCACACGTACTGGACTACTGCAGAACCGTCCTTGCGACTTTCGCGACGCTACGAAAAAAATGCAAGCACTGAATGTGCGTAAGCGACACGCATTGCATGGAACTTGCGTCCAGTGTAAGCAGAAATTTCAGATAGTAAGGGGTATGTAAATTTAATTACCCATCTCATCATGCGGCCAGTATCAGAAACTATTGTTTTGTTTACTTCACAGACTTTGTAGCGAGTAGATACACCATGTCTTGACAAATGCTCACCGTCCAGTGATGTGGACGCATTGCGGGCACTGTGCTTGTGCAGACGAAGAATCAGCCGTAGGTGAATGTGTCTTGTCAGCTTGCCAAACGCGCTCATGTTTGTGCAAGCTGCAAATAAAATCACACGCAGCCACGACGGAAGATTCACCTATGACGTGCAGGACTGCAGGTATGTGTACAAAACACCTGTAAGAGCATGTAAAGACCTCCGAGATCTGCACGCCGGACTGACGCTTACTAAAGCCTGGCGCTATCGTCGGCGTGACGTGCTAGGCAGGATCACGCGGAAATCAAAGATTTAGAATGCCGCCTGCTTTGCAATAGATTAAAGTAAAGGTGTTCCCACAGAACACCTACCAGAATTGGCTTCTGCGCCGCACGGCAGTGACGTCACTTTAAAACTTATTGGCAGCGTCTTCTGCACCGCGCGGCGCAGCAGCATCCCCACACAAAAGTGGCTTCTGCACTGCACAAAAGTGACGTCACTGAAAAAATTATTGGCAGCGTCTTCTGCACCGCGCGGCGCAGCAGCCATCCCCACACAGAACTGGCTTCTGCACCGCACAAAAGTGACGTCACTGAAAAAATTATTGGCAGCGTCTTCTGCACCGCGCGGCGCATCAGCCATCCCCACACAGAACTGGCTTCTGCACCGCACAAAAGTGACGTCACTTAAAAAATTATTGGCAGCGTCTTCTGCACGCGCGGCGCAGCAGCCATCCCCACACAAAACTGGCTTCTGCACCGCACAGAAGTGACGTCACTTAAAAGTTATTACCTAAAGCTAATTAAATGTGTAAATTATTTGTGCGTATAACGTTAAACCAACACAATTTTCATTAAAAAATGTTTAACGAGTAAATTATATCAGGTTTGTTATTTAAATACATATTACAGGTATATCGAATACAGGGGGCGCCATGGGCGCTGCGGCTGCGAAAGGTAAACACTGCAAGATAGTAGCCGCCTGCGATGTGTTGATGGTGAAAACTCGGGTGAAATCGTGGCCATGGCCTAGGCCATTCCCAAGGAGGACTGGAGTGTCGTCGCTGCTTCGTGTGATTGCTGGATGCTTAGTTGAACCTGGTGGTTGGAGCTAGCGCGGCCATCCACCGCGCCGCAGCTTCATCTGAGTATGTGCGCCATAAAGTTTCTCAGTATGATGTGCGGATTACAGTCGTTGGACGTACTGCATTTTCTAGATTGCTATGCCAAGCGTGGTGTTGTCAAAGGAGAAAGTGTTCTTGCTGCCGAGTTTCGCTTGTCGCGAAGTACAAGGTCGACGATGAAATAAATGCTTTCGCACGGTTCACGTGTGACTGACCGGACGAAACCCCAGTGCGTCGGCGAAGTGTTCATACGATGGATGGAAACTACTTTATTGTAATGTTCTTACGAAGCCTGTGATCTCCGAAGGCCAGAGCTACTGCATTGCCGTCTGTTTTGTCAAGTGCGAATACGTACGGCCGTTGTCATCCGTTGCTACGTGAATGCTCCCGTGCTGTCACAGGCCGCGCGTGTTTTAAGCAATGTAGACAAGTAGTTAGATGGGCTAACGCCATCGGCACTTGCCCTTGGGCATTGTTTATCAAGTGTTGATCGCCGAGAACATTGCAGTGACACGTCAGTATTTTTAAAGAAAGCGGCCTGCCGCTTACCTCGTCAGGTGATGGTACACTGAGCGACATAAAAAAAGTTGCCCGAGACTACGTTGCAGTGCACCTTTCTGTCATCAAAACTTTGATAAACCGTGGAAATCAACATTCCTGACACCTGTGTTGAAGAAACCAATGCAGCCAGCTGCATTCGAGTTTTTGTGTCTTTTTGCGTCTCGCCGATTAAGAGCACTAATTCGCAAAACACTTTATCATAATAAATATAGTCAGTTCTGCAAGAGTCATTGAAGATCCAATATTAAAGGGCCTGCCTGTGGACGAGACCACCACCAGCAGCAAGTCGGGCTGATGAGGAGGCGCAAATGTTAAAACAATACATGCGTGAACAAAAAAAAAAGAAAGTATTGATAACTACAATGGGACTTGAACCAAACGACCACACCAGTTCATGTGTTGCTTTAACCAACTACGCCACAGCTGCCGATCGGTTTGAGATGACAAACAAGCCTGTTTTGTATTGTTGTCACGCCAAACCTAAATAACATTTTTGTTCACTTTTTCGTTTGGACGTAATTTTAACGGCTTTTATTGTTATGTCTAGACGTACCGCTAGACACTCCCGACTATTCAAACAAACCGCCTAACCAAAAAATGCATGCCGTCACTTCCGTGCGGCGCAGCAGCCGTTTTTGTGTGGTGGTGGCTCGTGCGCCGCAGCAGTCTCTGCCCTTAATTCAATTACCTAAAGCTAGTTAAATGTTTAAAATATTCATGTGTAATGCGTTGAACCTACAAAAAAATTTTAATAAGCAGGTGTTTAACAAGTTAATTAGCCTAGGTTTGTTATTTAAATACATATCACAAGTATTTTCAATACAGGGGGCGCCATGGGCGCTGCGGCTGCGAAAGGTAAACACCACAGAACACCTACCAGTTTGCGTAGTTGGTTAAAGCAACACATCAACTGGTGAGGTTGGAGGTTCAAGTCCCATTGGACTTATCGAAACTTTCTCTTTTTTTTCTTTTTTGTTCACGCATGTATTGTTTTAACATTTCCGCCTCCTCATCAGCCTGACTTGCTGCTGGTCGTGGTCCCGTCCACAGGCCTTTCAATATTGTATCTTCGATGACTCTTGCAAGATTGACTATATTTATTATGATAAAGTATTTTGCGAATTAGTGCTCTTAATTGGCGAGACGCAAAAAGACACAAAAAACTCTAATGCAGCTGTCTGCATTGGTTTCTTCGGCACAGGTGTCAGGAATGTTGATTTCCACGGTTTATCAAAGTTTTGATGACAGAAAGGTGCACTGCAACGTAGTCTCGGGCAACTTCTTTATGTCGCTCAGTGTACCATCACCTGACGAGGTAACCAGCAGGCCGCTTTCTTTAAAAATACTGACGTGTCACCGCAATGTTCTAGGCGATCAGCACTTGATAAACAATGCCCAAGGGCAAGTGCCGACGGCGATAGCCCATCTAACTAGAAAACGGCTTGTCTGCCTTGTTCAATAACACGCGCGCCCTGTGACAGCACGGGACCATTCAAGTAGCAACGGATGAGAACAGCCGTACGTGTTCGTACTTGACAAAAAACAGACGGCAATGCAATAGCTCTGGCCTTTGTAGATCACAGGCTTCGTAAGAACATTACAATAAACTTGTTTCTGTCTGCCGTATGAACACTTCGCCGACGCACTGGGGTTTCGTGCATGTGCGTCCGGTCAGTCGCACGTGAACTGTGCGAAAGCATTTATTTCATCGTCGACCTTGTCCTTCGCGACAAGCAAAACTCGGCAGCAAGAACACTATCACCTTTGACAACACCACGCTTGGCATTGCAATCTAGAAAATGCAGTACGTCCAACAACTGTAATCCGCACATCATACTGAGAAACTTTATGGCGCACACACTCAGATGAAGCGGCGGCGCGATGGACGGCCACGCTAGCTCCAACGACCAGGTTGAACTAAGCATCCAGCAATCACATGAAGCAGCGACGACACTCCAGTCCTCCTTGGGAGTGGCCTAGGCCATGGCCAGATTTCATCGGAGTTTTCACCACCTAACACATCGCAGGCGGTAGGTGTTCTGTGGAATGGCTATTCCAGCCACTGTAGCGCCACGGCGAGCCATGGCGCGAACTAATAAGAGTAGCCTCCCCGCTAGGTGCTTTTCTCGCGACCACGCGCGGCCTAGGTGCCAAGACGATAGTTATAGCGCGAGAACAAAACGACGACACAGAGACAAGAAGGACTGTGTCGTCGTTTTGTTCTCGCGCTATAACTATCGTCATGCCATACCAACTAGCCCAAGCTGCCACACTTCTAGGTGCCAAATTGCGCGACATCACTAGGCGTTTTAGTCTCTAGCGGTGCGCCCGCGCTGGCTGGAGCGGTGAAACTGGTAGGTGTTCTGTGGTACAACCACATCCATCCACCAATCCAACCCATTGTCATGTTTTTTTTCTTTACTTCATACGTGACTTCGTACAACGCCTCCTCTAGAAAGATGCCTAAGGAATGGCTCGCGCTCCCAGCGGAGTTGGCCTGCCTTCAGTTTTAAACAAACTCCGCGCATCGGCGCTCGCAACCGACGTTATCATCACGACGACGAACGGTACCAGCCACGGAGGAAAGAAAGGTACCTTTTTCCTTCCTCCTGCAGCCCATAAGGGCGCGTCAGTCGAGAAATGTTCAAGACCTGCAACTGTGCACCACTGTTTCGGAGGCTATGCAAAGTGTTGCGTTGTTGCACCGTCCGCCACAAGTGATGCTAGCGACCGAGAACATTTTCAAAATGAAAGAGAGAAAGGGTGCGGCAGCTGTTTTTCTTCTCATGCGGCAGGCATCTTCCTAGAGGAGGCGTTGCTTCATATTTTGCGTGGAAGGCTGCTTTATCAACGCAGTCGGAACGAATTAAGTGCGACTAGGGCGTACCTGTAATGGGACCCCACATAAGCATTCATTATTTGGAATTTTGGTCGTTTGTGCTTATTGTGGGTGGGCCCCTGCAAGCTACGGTGGCGGGGTCCTATTTACCATAGAAGTTAATTTGAGGAAACTCTGTGCTATTTACAGGCAGCGCATGTTTTCCGCTTCGTCACCGTCACAGATAAGAGAATCCATAGTAGAACTCTCCTGGCACCACGATCGCTAAACAAATTTAGAGCTCAAAAGTACTGCGCACAACGCAGAATTCAAATGTTACCCTTCAGATCTATAAAAAAAGCACTTTTTTGAGAAAATTGTGACTCTTTTTGCTTTAAATTTTGAGCATACTACGGTGTCTCTAGCCAATTTTCTGGAGTCACTGAAGGCAGACTTGAACAAAGCCACTATGGTACTTCCACTTCCAACGCCTCCTCTACGAAGACGCCTGCCGCATGAGAAAGAAAACAGCTGCCATATCCTTTCTCTCTTTCATTTTTAAAAATGTTCTCGGTTGCTAGCGTCACCTGTGGCGGACGGTGCAACAATGAAACACTTTGCATAGCCTCCAAAAGAGTGATGCACAGTTGCAGGTCTCGAACAACTTTCGACTGACGCGCCCCTATGGGCCGCAGATGAAAAACGCTTACTGGTACCGCCCGTCGCCGTGATAATAGTGTCGGTCGCGAGCGTCACCGCACGGAGCTTGTTTAAAACTGAAGGCAGGCCAACTCAGCTGGGAGCGCGAGTCATTCCTCAGGCATCTTTCTAGAGGAGGCGTTGGTACTTCCAGTGCCTCCTGTCAACGCCTCCTATACTTTGAGATGCCTAGCACGTCGGCCGCTATCTTATTGTTTACCCGCGGCCACCGTGTTTTACCAGACTGCCGCGAGGCGGCGCCAGCTTCTGACACTACGCTCCGCCATTGAAAGTCACTACGCTAGTCGCTCTGTGGAGCTTCGCAGCACTCATCTTTGTGAAACTTTTGTCCTTCAAGGTTTGTAGGGCTTAGCAGAGTGAAAATAAAGTCAAGAACGAAAATAAAAGTAAATCAAGTGGAACTACAATAGCGCAATACTTATTCACTGCAGCAAAAGGCCAGCCTAAGCATTATCTGCCAAGAGCTGGGGTGTGTTGCAGATAACGCAATATCACAGTACGGTAATAATACGAATAGATATTGCTTCAACATAAAAAAAGAAATAACATCGATGTAAAGCAAGATCAACTGCAGGTTCATGCACATAATGGCCAGAAAATTGTAAACAAAAGGGAACATGTATATATTTTATCACAGGAGTAAGTATGACAGCTATACAAAATAGCAGCAGCCTCGGCTGTGAAGAAAAAAAATGCAAAATATTGGTAGTCAAAGAAAGTGTAAAGCAGAAAATGACTTTGTTATCACAGACAACGGTAAAAAACGAGGGGCATCGTCATGCATATGTAGCGAAACTAACAATTTAAAGCGAATAGGGTTGAAGAAGAGTTCCCCAATTCATGACACTGCTATCACAAAAGCCTCTCTCTGGCCATCATTGCAGCTTTTACATTTCAACACAGGCAAGCCTGTGATTGCACTGACACTGTGCTGCAAACACTGCTCCATTGGTTTCAGGCACGGAGGAAGGAAAAAGGTAAGGAGAGGGCATGCCCAGCCGGCGCAGAGCGTAAAAAATGTGGCGGAAATGACATCACGGCGGCCATATTCAGTAGGCACAATGGCGCCGTTGTTATGGTTACGTGTTGCGCAGTGAAGCTGGTCTAGCAGTGAGCGGCCGCGGCTGGCGGCGGAATGTGTGCCTCCCCAGGTCTCGTGCTGAGCCGTGGCGGACAATATCTGTGCTCTGCGCCGCGTTATTGGTTACGCAGTGTTCGTCTGGCTGTTACATTACTCTTACAAATCTCTTTGTCCATCACGGGTTTTTAACAGTGCGTAGAACAAGTGCATATCCATGTGTCGTGCGGCGGATGACGCGGATGAAGCAGTTAAGTGTTCAGCGAAATGGCGTTGGGCACCATGACGAAGCTGAATGACGACGAACGCCTTGCAGGTCAGTGACGGTTGAGCAGTGCTCCTGCTTGTGACAACGGACGACGCTGTTGAGCCCAGCAAGACGCCGTGAGGACCATGTGAACATACGTAGTTTCGTGTTGTGTGTGTACAGTAACAACTTGCATGTGCGTATTAAAACGCCTTTTCTGTTCCGCTTGGTACACTCTCCACCAGCATTGCATGTAATCTCAACGTAACAGCAACCACGTTCAACTGTCACTAGCACCGGTCGTGCTCAAAGTCACCACGGTCGCAGAATGCTGACGCAGGTGAGTTTCACGCGAAACACGGACACAGTGGCAGGACGCTGCGTCAGTCGCGTGGCGGAATGCAACCGTAAAAGGCGCACGACCGATCGTGTTGTCTGTACAGTTGCTCAATTAATGACGTGAAAGCACTCGCCGTTGTCAGTGCATCTAGCGCGCGTTCTTTCGTAGTTGCTTCGTTGTCAGTGAGCTGTTACTCTTTGTTATTACTCGGACGAAGCGATTTCGCTGAAGGTGTCCCGCTGGCTCTGAGTGATGAGCCCAGTTCCATTAGTTTCGGATCGTCACGACACGCGCTGCGCAGCCCACGTGCTTTCCGAGCCGGAGAGGGAGTCGCGCCTTCTGCTTCGCATTCATATGTAAACAAGAGAGGAGAATTTGCCTACTCAATATGGCCGACTTCCGGCTTCATCGCGGCTTCACAACAAGTGACGTCAGGGCCTCTCCTTACCTTTTCCTTCCTCCGTGGTTTCAGGAGAGCTTTTCTGTCTGAGTGTTGCATCTGCAGGTATCTCGTGGAACGAAATGCCAGGTTGCTTCTTGCGCTGGCTCGAGGTGCAAAAAGGCACGCAGCAGTACCGCATGGCTGGGCTTCAGCTGCGGTTATTAGATCGAGCTCCGAAGAGGCAATACGCGCGATAAAAAGTAGCACGTGGCACCCTGAGAAAAAAAATGACCAACAGCATTAGCGCCCACTCCGAACGGGCTACCGCAAAGACTGCGCGGGCGCTCGCCTGCCGGCAAGGCGCACAATGGATAGATGGATATGGCTGTACCCTTTAGATCGGGCGGTGGCTAGCGCCACCAAGCCGTAATACCTAATGAACTAAAAACTATATTTATTTTTTTCCTTAAAAAGTGAGTTTGAGGATTCGTACTTTGCAGTGAAGAGTTTAATTTTCACTCGTGCCTTGACTTTAACCACCAATCAGATAATCGATAGTGTCAAAACACAGCGCCGCAGCCCGGCGGTGGCGTGCGTAAACGAGAGAGGCTCGCGCGGAGAAATCGGCGCCGACGCGCCAGGCATCTCAAAGTACAGGAGGCGTTGCTTCTGTATAAAGGAGGCACTGTTACTTCTTTAGCTGTCGATTTTTTCGCCCCCCATCGACGATGGGTAGAACTTGAGACTTTCCGTGCAAGGCATGTGCAAGGCGTGCGCATTATGTGGGTTAGTGCCTCGCGCCAGTTTTTCTTTTAAGTTTTTAAGTATGAAATGTCGCACAAAACGCCCTGAGTAGCATTTCTCAGGGAATGTACTGAGTGTTCGCTGCAAGAGCTGTCTCACCAGTAAAAAAGCACCGAACTAAACTACGAGCAACTGCCACAAGTGGTCGTGCCTATTTGGCTATGCGGGCTTTTCTGTTTGTTTCTTCCCAGTGGTGTAGTCGAAAGAAGTGGATCGATTATGTTCTTAAGCGGACGTGTCGTCAGCGTGCGAGGCACTGCTCCACGAATTGGGAAGCAAATTACGGCAAAGAGCGCAAGTATGACATTGATCCTAGCCAGTTCCCCCAGAATGTTGTGCGCAACTTCTGCATCGTGGCTCATGTGGATCACGGTAAAAGCACCCTTTCTGACCGGCTCCTGGAGTTCACGGGGACGATAAAGCCGTCTCGGGACAACCAGCAAGTGTTGGATCGACTTCCTGTTGAAAGAGAGCGGGGAATCACCGTCAAAGCGCAGACGGCGTCCATGGTATTCCGCAAATCTAGTCAGCCTTATCTTCTGAACCTTATCGACACACCTGGCCATGTTGATTTCAGCTACGAGGTGCTGCGATCCGTATCGGTTTGCCAAGGTGTCATTCTGTTGGTCGACGCCAATCAAGGCATTCAGGCCCAAACGGTGGCCAACTTCAACATCGCCTTCTCTGCAGATCTTGCCATTATACCCGTCTTGAACAAGATAGACCTCAAAAATGCTGATGTCGAGAGCGTGTCTGCGCAAATAGAAAATCTTTTTGGTATCAACAAGGAGGATGTGCTCAAGGTGTCAGCTAAAGAAGGCGTTGGAATCGAAATACTTGTGAATGCCATCATCAAAAGGATACCACCACCCAAAGGTGACCCCGATGCACCGTTTCGCGGCATATTGCTCGACTCGTGGTATGACCGATACCGAGGTGTTATTGCGCTCATTATAGTTATCGATGGCACATTGCGACCGGGGGAAGAAATTGTGTCTCATGCGACAGGTACAACATACACTGTGCGTGACTTGGGTTTTATGAGTCCTCTTGAAACTCCTACTGCACTCCTGTTAGCTGGTCACACTGGATATGTGGTTGCAAACATGAGGTCTCCCAAAGAAGCTCATATAGGTGACACATTATCGCACAAGTGTGATCATGTTACGCCACTTCCAAAGTTTCAAGAGTCAAAACCAATGGTGTTTGCCGGTGTTTACCCTGAAGACCAGTCTAAAAATAATGAAATGCGAAGTGCAATCGACCGCCTCCTGCTGAATGATCCGAGCGTGCAAGTTTCTATTGAATCAAACGCTGCCTTGGGCCAGGGGTGGCGCCTGGGATTTCTCGGTCTTCTCCACATGGATGTTTTCTGTCAGAGATTAGACCAAGAATTTGATGCACAAGTAGTTGTCACAGCTCCCAGCGTGAGCTACAAGATCAAAGTGCATGGAGCCAAACAGATTAAGCACTATGGCAGTGAAATAGTTACCATCAACAATCCACTCGACATGCCTGATCCTGCGGTCATCAGAGAATACTATGAACCAATGGTCATGGCTACAATCATCACTCCTGATGAATACCTCAGCAAAGTGATGAGCCTGTGTGCTGACAACCGAGGTGTTGCAAAGTCCACACAAAATGTAGACAACACGACAATACTTCTCCAGTACAAGTTTCCTCTGAGCGAAATTATTGTTGACTTTTATGATGCACTCAAGTCAGTTACGTCAGGGTATGCCAGCTTCGACTATGAGGAAGCAGGCTACGAGCAAACGGACTTGGTCAAATTGAATATCATTCTAAATGGAAAAGTTGTTGAAGAGCTAACAACAATTGTACATGCAATCCGTGCTAGGCAGATAGGGCGTTCTATGCTTCTCAGATTGAAAGAAAGCATTCCTCAGCAAATTTACGCTGTTGCACTTCAGGCGGCCGTAGGTGGCAAAATTGTGGCTCGTGAAGATATCAAAGCTCTGAAAAAGAACGTTCTTGCAAAATGTTATGGTGGTGATATTACGCGCAAGTTAAAACTTCTTAAAAGACATTCCGAGAAGCAAAAGAAGCTTAGGACCATTGGAAACATCCAGATTCCTCGTGATGCCTTTATTAATGTTTTGAAGCGGACATAACTTGTTCTTCAAACAAGAAAAGTGATTGTATCACTTCTGTTGTTATAAGTTGATTTGAACATTAAAATTTATGATGGCTTTATGTAGCAGCATTTAGAACGATATATATCATGCGTGCATGTAATTTGTATACATGAGTACGCGTGCTTGCTTGGCACATAACTTGCCACGGCTGATCTCAGACGACAATATCATGATTGTCATCTGTGCTAGACTGATAAAGTACGCTCAAGAGCACTGAATGATATGGAACACTTGGCAAGCAGCAAGTCTCGCAACTGGTCATGTAGCAGGTGCACGTCCTTGAACAATGTGCATTTCTTTTAACACGATAGCTTTAAAGAGCTCGTTTCGCAGAAATTCCGGTTTCAATCTCGTTAGTTGTGAGCAAAACTCATCTTATGCGTGACCGTGAAATCGAGACTGATGCAAATGAAATAAATGATGAAAAAATTCTGGAGCAGAGTGGGGACCAAACCAAGGTTGTTGGAGTACAGAGTGTGGGGACCGAAGCCTTGTCGTTTGCATGGCAAGAGGATTTTCTACCACACAGCCACGCATCTGCTTGTGAAAACAGTAAAAAGAATTTACTCTGCCTGAAAATGCAGTGAAAGTAGCTTTTATGCTTTACAAATAGATGCATCCTGTGTATATTCTTCACAATGCAAGATGAAATATTGCAGTAATAATGCGTCGTCAAGCATACACTGCCAATGGGCGTCGGATTATGTGGTTATTATAATGGCTTCGTGGATGAAAACCGGTACTTCACTGCACAAGGCACTCATGCTACTGCCCCTATTCCCCTAAGGCCACGTAGTGGGTGCATCGCGAATTCGAAAAGGCTTTATACACTAAATGTTTGAAGTACGCACTACAAATAGGATGTCACTATCACGTTCACCTCCTAAAGGCAAAGCTCTAGGGTCCCCTAATTTTCCCACTAACCTCGGCATTAATGAATTCTGCATAGCAACATACTAACTTAGCCCTCACGCCCTTCTCCTTTTTGGTGACATGAATTTTCCTAACATCACCTGGCACACTGGTGCTTTTCTGCTCGACCCCTTTTCAACACAATCCCAACAGTTCCTAGATTTTTGTAATTGTCTTAACATCACCCAGGTTGTAATGAAACAAACTAACGAATCGTATTATACATTAGACCTAGTTCTGTCAACACATCCAGAATTCATATCCCCAATTATATACTTTCCTGGTATGAGCGACCCTCTGAGGCTCCATTTCAACATTACCATGTCCTTTTCATATGGAACTAAAGAAGACAGATACATTCGGGACTACTGGAATGGAGATTTTGATGCCATTAACAAAGATATGTGTAGGTACTTGGCCTCTTTTTGTTGCAGTTTTAATGAGAGAAATGTACAGGAGAACTAGGATATTTTCAGGAACTTAGTTACTGATCTCACCAATGCACACATTCGCCGTCGACGCATAAGGAACAACACAAAAACGCTGCGGTCTAACACGCCTCTCAAATGTTTGTGTAATAGGAAAAAGCACCTTTTCCGCAGAGTCAAGTTACAAAATACTACAGATCGCTGGCTAGCATATAACAATGCTGAGGCAGAATACACGGAAGCTGGACATATTGCTAAGAATCATTTCCAAACGCATACGTTACCTTAACTGTTATCAAAGAACCCCCGGCAATTTTGGAATGCTATCGATCCAAACCAAAATTTGGATTTATCCATCAACCATAACTCTAGCGAACCACTACCTACATCTGAATGTGCCACGTTATTTAATAACGTTTTCTCGGCCAATTGCTCGGGTAACACTGCTGCGCCTGTTGACACAGTTGTGTGCTGTGATTACTCCTATATGTTTTCTATTACTTTTGATTCTGTGGAAATCGTGAAGTCAATTGAGACCTTAAAAACATACTCATCATGTGGGACTGACAATATTCTGACAAGTTTCTCAAACAGACAAGCACATATTCGTCTCTCTTCTTGTACAAGGTTTTCCAGCAGTTTCCTAACCAAGCAACCTTGCCCTTGGACAGGAAGGTAGCCAGGGTTGTGCCGATACACAAGGCTTGTAATAAATGCTCTGCTATTAACTATCAACCCATCTCACTAACAAGCATTCCATGTAAACTAATAGAACATGTACTACACTCACATATTACAAAATTTTTAAAATCAAATTCATTTTTTTAATCAGCCCAACATGTTTTTTTTAGGCGTACGTTCTCCAGTGAAACCCGGCTGCTTCTTTTCACTCATCACCTGCACACCATTCTCCATACAATCTCAAATTGACTGCATTTTTCTGGATTTTGCAAAAGCATTTGAAAAAGTCAATCACGCTTCACTAATTTATAAGCTCTCCTCCCTCAACCTTGGCTCTAATGTACTGGCATGGCTCGACTAGTTTCAAACAAACCGTCGTCAGTATGTCACTATTAACAGTCATGACTCGCTGAAAATAAACGTAACATTGGGTGTACCAAAGGGCTCAGTTTTGGGACCACTTTTTTAAAATATATATTAATGACCTAACTATGTCTCTTCATCCGTTAATTTGTATGCCGACGACTGTGTGCTTTACAGGGAAATATGTAACGATGATAAGAACATCTTGCAGACAGACTTAAATAACATCAGGAATTGAGTTCTGCGAAAACCCTCAAGGTGACGGAAGTGTTAAGAAAGGGAAAGAAGACTACAACCCGATTGTAGCATGAAGCCACAAGGAAATTAGTAAGGATTTCTCAGAAAGAAAAGTCTCTTAGTTGCCAAAAAATTTTGTCCTGTTCCGGGGTTGGAACCCGGGACCAACGCCTATTCAGGGCGGTCGCTCTGCCAATTCAGCTCACCAGGAAGCTAGCAATTTTTGACAGCGCGAGGGCGAATTCATTGTCAACTCGAAGCACATGGACACAAGTAAAGCAAATGAGTTCCAAATGCATAAATTGCCTGAACATACAAACTGAATTATGTTTCTCTTGATTTAGTGTTGTCATACCAGCATTTGGGCATTACCATTTCTTTCAATATAACATAAAATGCTCACATTAATGTCATCACAAACAATGCTAACCATACATCGAGGTACATTTGTCACAACTTTAGCAATGCCCAACTTTCCCTCAAGATGCTTCTTTATAAAACCCTCATGCACTCGAAATTGGAATACGCTGTTGCAATCTGGAACCCTCACCACGAAAATTTGATCAGATATATTGAGCGAATTCAAAGTAACGCTGCATGCTTTATTCTATCGTATTATCACCGTAAATAAAGCATAACAGCAATGAAACACCATTTGTCATTGCCACCTTTATCACTAGATCGGAAGTACTTCCGCCTTTGCCTTTTCCTTAAGATCTACTATCATCTATTACTGCGTAGTGAGCTCAATAAGAGATACAAGATGATGGTGGTGACGCACCTACATCTAGCCATGATGACGAGTCAGTTGAAAGCTTCTATGAAGCCGTGGAATCGGCAATGAATAACGTAAAAACACAGTATACAATACTGATGGGAGACATCAATGCAAAGGTTGGGAAGAAGCAGGCTGGAGATCAGGCAGTAGGAGAGTATGGCATCGGTACTAAAAATGCCAGAGGGAGCTATTAATAGAATTTGCAGAACGCAATAATTTAGGGATTTTGAATACCTTCTATCGAAAACGAGGGAACCGTAAGTGGACATGGAGGAGCCCTAATGGCAAAAATAAGAACGAAATAGACTTTATACTGAGTGCGCACCAAGGCATCGTGCAGGATGTGGAAGTGCTTGGCAAGGCAGTGCCATGTTTTTTTTCTCAACTTTTGTTATCGCCCCGTTACACTATGTTCAGCGCAAACTGCGCCTACAGTGTTAAAGAAGCTTCGAGGCTGTAGTAGATTGTATTGTTAAGATTACGCCCACTTCGTGAACCTTTTAGATTATGCTAGAACTTGCGTCGCCGCTAGCGATAACGCTAGATTGTTCAATGGCAAGTGTATAAATGCAGACACGCTTCGCCGCTTGTCAGATGATCGACAGCCGATGCTCTGTTCGCTGCTATCAGTGCCAATGTTTACTTTCTTTTTGTGTGGCCACAAGTTCGGCTCGAATAAACAGTTTCTTTTTCGACATGGAGTCTGCTTCCTTTGTTCATGTCATGACCCCGTGACATCTGGTGGAGGTGCTGCTTCGTTCATGTACTGGACACCCCCGCCAAGCCATGAACCCAGCCCACGTCGCGAAGAAGACATCGACGCTAGCCACGAGCACTGAACAAGCCGCAGGCAGCAGATTTACCTTCGGAGTACAGTCTTCTACAAGACAAGGCTCAGAAGACCAAGGCCATGACTTGGACCGCGGCAACAATGACGACTGCTGTGCCACAGCCTGCGATCGTGATGCAGCAGCCAAGGAAACCACCGATTTTTCATGGGTCATCGTTCGAAGTTGGTCATTGTTCGAAGTCTCAGAGACCTGACTAAAGACCTACGACCGAGTGGCCGCCCTCAACAACTGGGACGCAGAAGAGAAGCTCTGTGGTGTCTACTTTAATCTGAAAGACGCGGCAAGGACATGGTTCAAGAGTAGGGAGTCTGCGCTTCAAACGTGGGATCTATTCTGCGGTGAATTCCTGCAAACATTCACGAGCGTCGCTAGCAAAGAGAAGGCCGCTGCATTTCCGGAGACCCGGATGCAGCTGACCAATGAAAACGTCACCATTTTCGCGGAAGAAATGAACCGTCTCTTCCGCCATACTGACCCCAACATGTCCGAGAAGAAGAAGATCTGTCTGCTTATGTGAAGAGTCAAGCAAGAACTCTTTGCTGAGCTGATCAGGAACCCCCCAAAGATGGTCGCTGAATTCATTTCGGGAGCATCTACGATAGAGAAGACGCTCGAGATGCGGACACGGTAATACAACTGTAGCTTCTCGTCTAAAAGCTACGCCGACATCCAAGCGCTAGGAACTGTCGACTTGCATGAGACGATGCAAGCAATCGTGCAAGAAGAGCTGTGCAAATTGTTTCCTTCAGCATAGCCTCGCGTGGATTCCATTGCGGACATCGTACGCCCGGAGATCCAGCAATCGCTGGGCATTTCTCAGCCTCCA